TCTCTCTCTCTCTCTCTCTCTTTCTCTCTCTCTCTCTGTGTCTCCATGTTGTATTTCTGTGTGCGTCTACGACGTGTGTCTTCCCGGAGTGGGCAGTGATAGTAGGCGAAATTTCCACTAGATAGTGTTTGATTGCCTCCTGTACTGGAATTGCTTCGTGGTTGGGACATGTACGTTTCCTGTCTCTCAACTTCATGTGCTAGTGTGGGGGGGTTGAGCTTTGCCCTGAGAAAATCTGACTGTGGGATATGAAGCATGAAGTGTAGCTGTTGAGTGTACATTGAATCGTGGGTTTCTTGTCAGAAATTTGTCCATCTGTCTGTCTGTGCAGGGCTGATTGAGACGAAAAGAACTGTCTGCAGACCACTGTGATTGATAGTTTGATGAGCTGGAAGATTGATTGATGGCACTTTGGAAGTGAACTGAACAGATGAGCACAGGGCTGCAATTTGCTAGTGCATTCGGGAGTGATATCTTACGTTGGTTTATGGCCTTATCGTGATTTGCTACAGGGTTTTGCGATCCCTGCGGCGAGTCAAGGGAAGGTGGCGAAGTTCACGTACGAGGGCCAGCCCGCGGAGTTGCGGCACGGCGATGTGGTGATCGCGGCCATCACCAGCTGTACCAACACGTCCAATCCGAATGTCATGCTGGGGGCTGGGCTGGTGGCGAAGAAGGCACTTGAGCGAGGCTTGAATGTAAGTCGCTCCTATCTTTGCTGCACTAAAGGTTGGTGAGGATTGCAAAGAACAGGGGTAGGCTATTGGCAGGGTAGAGCTGGAGCCAGATATTCTTAGAACCCAAGGAATGTGTTGAATAACCCTTGCAGGAATTGCACATGGAGATTGCTTCGAGGCTGGGTTGCTTGGCAGGCAGTAGTGGAAAGACAAACAGGTGGTAGCATGGGTGGTGAAGGCGCGATATTCAGCCATAGTTGCGGCGCACGGCGGTGTCAGCCCCTTTTGTCGGCACCCGCTCTTGGAGCACCCCCCAATGAACCGCCCAATGCACCCCCTTCACCCCCCAACCCCCCTCTGAATCCCAGACCCCCCCCTTAATGAAACCCCCTTACCTTGCCTCCCCAAACCCCATCCCCCCACACCCCC